GTTACTGGCAGGTGGTAGAGTGACTCAGATATTAACTCCTGCCCCCATTTCCAGGGCAGACATCTCCCCAATATGATTGTAAATCCATTCCCATTAACTGGTGCCTGTGGTTTTCAGGCTAATAAATTCTTTGAATATTACATCCGTCCATCATGTTCCTTATGCAGAATCTGTTCAAAGTTATAGTGCCAGGCATTACAAATTAATAAGTTATGAATTTATAAATTGGTATCTAGTTTATCAAATTTTCATGAATGTGATTCATGTGAATCAGCTTTCAGGATCTATGCAAATTTAGGCATACTGATAAAATTAAGTTTTTGAACTTGCAAAGCAGAGAAATTTCTAGACCCAAGACAATCTCATCATATTACAGAATCCCATGTAGCTGGGATTCAGCATTCTCCTGGATCTGCTCGCTAAGCACCTAAAGATAATGTAACACACCAGGAGTGGCCGGTGGGGCAGCGCCCACAGAAACAGCTGACTCACTGTGACAGCAGCATTCCCCTTGCACCCAGAGACGCTTTCTCGGCTCAGGGAGATGGAAGAAATGGCTGAGAAGTTACACTGTGGTGGTTTTGTAACTGAAGTTACACAGTTAAGTTTGTTTGTCTCTCATCTTCCTCTCTTTCACTTTCCTCACCTCTCCTTGCAAGCATGCCTGCGTTTTAAGGTTAACGCTATATGACTGTTTTAGAAGACAGACCCAGGACTCTGCTCTTTACCTGCTGAGATATGGGAACCCAGCTTGGCTTCCCATTTTAGCAGCAGACACAGCAGTGCAGGGAGCAAAGGAGGGAATTCAGTGACCTCCCTTGTCTTTGCTGGTCCCAGGCATGTGCTCAGGCCCAGGCATGTGCTGTCTTTGCTGGTCCCCACATTTCCTCTGATCAGTTATGTTCCCATCTGAGATGATAGTAAGGCTTTTCTGGCCTCCCAGCAAGGCAAGGGTTTGCCCTGGACTCTTACCTGCAGGTGGTTCTGCCCTTTTAATGATAAGCAGCTCAAAAGCTTCGTACGTTAACCCATTTAATATTGAAAAATTCTTCTTTAGACTGAGACCAAATAGTCTTAAGAGTTTCTTTCACTCGTGTTTCTACTTCTGTAGAAACACAAGTTTCTCACACGGAAACTCCCTTCTTCCCAAAGGCTCATGCAGATGGCAGCCAGGCTGTGGGGGCTGGAATGGTGTGGGCACCATGAGAGCCTCACAGGCCTGCCCGGAGCCACCCTCTGCAGCCTCTTCTGGAGCTGGCATCCTGGAGCCCTGCCCCATGTTTATTGAGAAGCCTGAGGGAGCCCAGGAATAGATGCCAACAGGGAACACATGGTGAAGGAGCCGCGCCCGCAGTGCCTCCGGAGCTGCCTGCCTTGTTCCCGGGCTTTGCCTCCAGCTCCTCGCAGGCCCCTCTGGCCGCTGTGCTGCCTATGGCCGAGCTGCCCTGCCAGGCCCAGCCCCGCTCAGCTCTGTGGGGAAGCCTGGCCGGCCCTGTGCCCCGACCCATTCCCTCTCTGCCAGCCAGACTCCTGGTGCACGGACTTCTTCTCCGTGGGCTTTCCCAAAGGGCAGCCACGAGGGGAACTGACAGCTGGGGTTTGTGTTTGCCCAGATTGCTGGCCTCCCTGATGGACACTCTCCCCGCCCGCACTCAGTGGGAGACTGTGCCATAGGGAGAGCAGGAAGAGCGGAGGCGAAGGGCCCCCACCCCCTTAGGGAATGTGGGCATCTTTTTGGGCAAGGGCTCAGGAGAGCGTTTTCCGAGCTCCTAGCACACCCATCCACAGCTCTGGGAGCTGGCACCGCGTCCTGGAGAGGATGAGCCCAATCCTGCCACTAAGCGCACAGCTGCGCAGACCCCGCCCGCCTCTTCCCAGCAGGGCCATCCTCCCATGGCTGGCAGAGTCCAGGGTCAGGCCCCAGCCTGCCAGGCCCTGAGCTGCCTGTTGGAGAGAAAATGTGAACAAGGCTAGGATAAAGCCTCACCCCAATGCTTGGCGTTGGCTCTTGGTGATTCCGGGTGACTAGCAGTTGCTGCTCCTGTTGTTATTGCCTGGCCATTTCTGCTATTAAGAATGATTCAGCAATAAATTAGGTCCTTTCCCGGTGCACACAGGCCCCTTTCTTACTGGCTCCGTCTTGGAGTTGTCCTCATTGTCATTTTCTGAGTATGTGACCGTGTAACGAGCACTTCCACACACACGACTTCCCACAGGCACAGCAAGCCTGGAAGCAGGTGCTTCCTGGCCTGGAAGCTCAGAGCACTGAGTGTGAGGCCACAGCACTGACAGTCCCGGTGGAGCAGCAGTTCACCCAGTTCTCCTGACCGCAGGGACCCTGTCCTCCTCCCTGCTGTCCTCTGAGCCTGGTGCGCAGAGGCCTGCTCGGTGACCAGGACAGAAACTGTCACTGGGGGTGGAGGATGAGGGCTGTGAGAGGAGGGCTGTCCCTGAGGTGGAGGGTCAGGGCTGTGAGAGGAGGGCTGAGCTCGAGAGCAGACAGGACCCCGTGGACCACACACACTCAGGGACACAGGTGACAGTCCCCATGGCCTGGGACTCTCCTGGTTTAGCACCCACTTCCTGCGTCCTGGGACCCCTTGGTCCTGGGCAAACACAGTGTGGATCAGACTGTGCCCTTGGCTCCACCGGAACTTCTGGAGACACCTGAGGCAGGAGAGTCTTAGCCCCAAGCTTTGAGGGGAGGTCCAGCTGATTTGAGGGTCTGCACAGCTGATTTCTGCAAACAGTTATTTTCTGAGCCTGGACTCCAGGACATTTTGTCCCAAGTGGCTACATTTTAAATATTTAAAAAAATCTGAACCTTTGGTTGCCAGAGGGAACCTAGTTAATTAATAATAACCCTGTTTGCTACTGAGTATGATGCAGGCAGTGTAGGAAGTGCTGTAGGACCCTCACCACGGCCCCCCCGGACAGGCGTGTAACACATTGATTGTTATTCCCATTTACTGAGTAGGTAGCCGAGGTCCTGCATATTCCAGCGAGGCCCCAGGTCCTGAGCGGGTGTGTCTGCCACTGGAGCCCTCACTCCTGCAGCTCCCTTCCCAAAGCCCCTCCTGTGCATTCTGTCCGGGGCACATGAGAGTTCGTGGGTGTTTGGAGATTCGCACGTGTCTTTGGCGGCTCCTGGAGCGGCCAGGCTCACAGCATTTAGGAGATTCAGTATCCTGAGTGGTGGCCCTGGATTTCATAGAAACACTGTGGGAAGGTTTGCAAGACGTTCAGCTGCCAACTCCCCCAAACATAAAATTAGGGCCGATGTGCTGTGTGATCCAACATGACTGTGAACTTCTATAGCTCAACTGTTTTTTAATAGGTTACCTTCCACGTTGCAGCTTTTGACATTTTATTATCCAATCAGTTCTCCTGGAGAAGGGATTGGGAGCATAAAGCTTACACTGACGTTAAACCTCACTCAATACCACTATTTTCTATAAAATGTTTTTTTAGATTAATGTGTCATAAGGTTGTGCCAGGGCCTTAAGAGGGAGGGAGTTTACCAAATGAACATTTTGTATTTGTGCTGGCACCTCCCAGACTGGTGCTCTTTTGCCTTTGTTCATGAGTAAACAACTTTCCTTTCCATTGCTGAGATAAAGTTTGGTTTCTTTGGTTTGGAGGCTGAGCCTCAGAATACTTTTGTGTCCAAACCTGCTGCACTTTGTCTGAAGATGCCTGCAAGGTGGGCCTGATTCCTTAGCCTTTGCAGCTGAAACAATGGCTCACACTCAAGCTTCATGGGCTGATAGTGCTTTTATTTTATTTGGCTACAGGGCTAATCTTAATTGGTAGTTCTGAATTAGTCATAAATATATTTTAAATTGGACCCGTGATACTTAATATAATACATTGAGAGAGTTCTTTGTGGTAGAGTTTATAAGAGTTTTTTCAAAATAAACTATGTGTAGCTGTTACATGAAAAGTACCTCAGAGTCTAAACATCTTTGTCTGAAGACTTAGAAAACCCCCTCTGCCCTTTTAGTCCACAAGACTAAAATCTCCTTTGTATGGAATTAATTCACTTGGAGGACAGTGAGCCACTGTGTCCCTAATATGATAATTAATAAAATCTATCTTGGACACTCTCGCAACAATGCAGTCTGTAACTTCAGGAGATTCCAGGGTCTTTGCATCTTATCTGAAGAAGTAGGGTGTGAAGTGGTCCAGCAGCTGCTTCAGGAGGTGAAGCACTTGCCCACGAAAGTGGAAGCCCTTTGGCCTCTGACGGTCAGCGTGCAGGCTGCGTTTCTGTTTGCTTCTGCCCTGTACAGTGCACCCATGTGCCATCCACAAACTACACAACCAGAAGAAACAGCTCTGTGTATAATGGAGATTTGGGTCCAGATTATAATTTGGACCACATTTAGGGGCAACAAGCTTCACTTTCTTCCCCCCAAACACCTAGAAACTACTGTTGTCCGCCACTAAGTTCCATGGACCCCCAACTCTCCTTCCAACCTATACCTTCTATTAATTTGATGACATCTCTGTGGCCCTATTGTCATTTATGTTTAATTATAGGCTTTACACAAACTATATCAAGTCTTTGCAGGATGAAGTAGAGCACAAATACAAATATTCACACACATCCTGAAACCTGGCAGAATGGCTGCAGGAGCTCAGAATGTGCTTTTATTGAATTGTGTTGAACTCAGCTAACCTGACCCGTGTCTAAATCCCCAACTCTAAGGCAGATAACAATACCTCCAACCCTTCTTAATAGGTTGGATTATTCTATCTTTGTTAAATCCCTACCGTTGGTTTGCTCAAAAGTCACTGTATTTATTTTCCTAACTTACTGTGTAAAGGGTGGGGTTGCTTGAACCATTGGAAAGTCTTTGTGAGTCATATTGCTGAAGGCGGATTTGAACGGGACTATTTATCCAAGGGTACAAGATGCTCTTATTTACAGCAGAGCGAGTCAAGCATCAGTGAGAAAGAGTCTGTTGACTGAAAAACAGAACCAGGCAGAAAGCAGGATGAGCACTGCTGGAAAAGTAAGAACATTTCTGCATCCTCATGATCTTGGTCTAATAATGTGGGGTTGATTTTTTAGAACTTTGAATACTTAAGAGTAATTGAGTATTTGGGATATGTCTTGAGTAATTAAATGCCTAGGAGGAGGCATGGCAGGGCATATCAATGTGCCAATAAAAGTGAGATAAAACAGTATATAGGAGGTTTCTTAATAAAACATTGATGGAAAATGGAAAAATGGTTTACACTGTTTTTACTGTGGTTTGTACTGTTTAAAGTGGTTTATACTGACATTATTAATAATTTAATTTCAGGATAGTTGGGCATTTGCTCTTGGCGGCATAAATTTTTCCATGAAAAGACTTTCCATAGTCTCATTTACATGCGGCATTCAGCTCTGGTTGGGTGGGAGACAAGGGCTCATTCCCAGCTGTTGGGAAAGGTTTTTCTGCTGTTAACCATGGGAAAATGCTAATTCTGGAATGCAGAGTAGACATCAAAGTATTACGCTTTTAAGATTTGTTCAAGATGTAGTTTCATCAAAATATAAGTTTTAAAAAATCCTTATAAACAGGAATACACTATAGTAAAATATTTATTCTTTAAAAATCTGAATTGACAATAACTTTAGAAATAGCTTTGGCATTTTTCATTTGCAAATTGGTCAGTACAGTTTCGTTCTTTAAAAGATAGATAACTGTTTATAGCATTAGAGGCTTTTGTTTGTTTTATTTATTTCATTGTTTTTATTTAAGTAACTTTGCCTTTAACTTGACTTAAGGTTCCTAAAAATGAAGATATCTTTGAAGTCTGGGTAATGTGACAATGAGGAGGCCATATGCTGTTAGAATTAGAAATCATTGATCCTGGAATTGAATTGAAGTAGAATAAAAGCATTCTAATTTGGCTCAGTAATCCAGCAAAACTAAATTAATTGGGGAATTAATTTTGCACTATAGAAGCTAGTGACTCCCAAGTTCTAGTTATGCCGCCCCTCTAAAATGGACATCTAGTCATTGTTAGGGCATTTCTAATGCTGGAGAACTCAAGGCAGTAGGCTCAAGGCAGCACTTCCTAATTATAATTAGTAATACAATGTATAATTTAAGGTAATTTAGCATAAAAGCTGTATAATTTTGAGACAGAGATGGTTGTATAATAGTGTGGTTTGCATAGGGGTTATGTATGTTCCAAGTTGCTCCAGTGCTTCAGTGTAGCTCATGAGAGCAAGGCTCTCTTTACATTGGGGATTACTTTCCCCCTGATTATCTATACTAATAAAAATGTAATGTGCTAATAAGGCTGGATGGCCAAACAGCAGAATAACCATCTGGTCGACCTTCTGAACAAAGCCTGGGCTGTGAGGGCCGAGGCAGCCCCAAGGCTGTGGGGCCCGAGCCCTTTGCAAGAATTTCACACATCAGGCCTCTACTAATATATGCTGTTTTCTAGGACTGCCATAGCAAAGTACCACAGACTGGGTGGCTTACACGGCAAAAATGTTTTTTCTCATAGTTGTGCAAGCTAGAAGTCTGAGATCAAGGTGTCAGCAAGGTTGGCTTTCTCTGAGCCCCTCTCTTGATCTTGTAAATAGCCACCTTCTTTCTGTTTTCCATGATCTTCTCTCTGCATATGTAGTGTCCTTATGTAGACACTGTCATATTGGATGAAGGCCCACTCTAATAACCTTATTTTACCTTAATTACCTCTTAAAAGACTCCATTTCCAATTACAGAGACATTCTGAGGTACTGGGGGGATCAGGACTTCAACGTACGAATGAATGTTAGGTAACACAATCTGGCCCATAACAATAATCCCCTAGAGAACCGAGGTAGTGGCATCAGTAAACACAGTACTCGCAGCCTCCCACAACCACATCAAAATTACAACTAAAATACAGAAAACCATTCAGAGCTGCCTGAAATCTGGCTGAGTACTAGTTCTACAACCAGAAAATTAAAGAAGAAAGCACACATAGATTGGTAGGAGGGGCGGAGGTGAGGAACAGGCTGGTCCAACACCCACGTGTGACTTTTTTAATTGTGAGGGATATCTTTACTGAGGAAGCCTCCTGAGGAGCAAGGGGTCCCAGCCCCACAGCATGCCCCAGCCCAGGGTTCCAGAGCTGGGAAGAGAAGTTCCAATAACTCTGGGCTGTAAAAACCAACTGGGATTGTGGCCAAATAACAAAGAGGCTGTGGCAGTCCCAGGTGTTCCTCTTAAAGGGCAGGAGCGCGAACTTACTCTAACTTACTCTGAGTTTCAGCTCTGGGGCAGCAGCTTGAAAGGAGCCAGGGACATATGAGGAATCTAATGCTTCCTTTTTTTTTTTTTACTATAGTTATTCAACATTATTCCACGTTTGTTTCAGGTGTTCAGCATAGTGGCCAGACAATCCCCTACCTCACAAAGTGTTCCCCCCAACACTGCCAGTCTCCACCTGGCACAGTCATACACAGTCATCGCAGCATTACCGACTGTATTTCCTGTGCTGCACTATGTATCCCTATGACTGCTTTGTAACTACAAATTTGTACTTAATCGTTCACCTCTTTCATCCAGTTTCCCAATCCCCCGGCTTTCTGGGGTTCACCAGTCTAATCTCTGTATCTAAGGTGAAGATATTCTTAAGTAGGGAGCAAAGTTTTAGTTATGCAAGATGAATGAGACCTGGAGATGTATTGTATAGTGTGGTGATGATAGTTAACAATATTCCATTAAATACTTGAAATTTTTTAAAAGGATAGGTCTTAAACTTTCTTAACATGAACACAGACACATACACACACTCTCTTTAGTAACTATCTAGATACTAGAGGCCTGGTGCATGAAATTCATGCACAGAGGTGGGGTGTTCCTCAGCCCAGCCTGCATCCTCTCCAATCTGGGATCCCTCTCAAAATCCAGGACTGCTGGATCCCAACTGTTCGCCTGCCTGCTTTCCTGATTGCCCCAACCATTTTTGCCTGCCAGCCTGATCACCCCCTAACTACTCCCCTACCAGCCTGATTGATGTCTAACTGCTCCCCTGCCAGCCTGTTTGCCCCCAACTTCCCTCCTCTGCCGGCCTGGTCACCCATAACTGCCCTCCCTTGTAGGGTTTATTTCCCCCAACTGCCCGCCTCTGCAGGCCTGGTCACCCCTAACTGCCCTCCCTTGCAGGCCTGGTCCCTCCCAACTGCCCTCTCCTGCTGGCCATCATGTGGTGGCCATCTTGTGTCCACATGGGGGCAGGATCTTTGACCTCATGGGGACAGCTATCTTGTGTGTTGGAGTGATGTTAGATAGGGTAGAGGCCTGGTGCATGGGTGGGGGCCAGCTGGTTTGCCCTGAAGGGTGTCTCGGATCAGAGTATCCCGGATCAGGGTGGGGGTTCCCTTTGGGTGTGGGGTGGCCTGGGTGAGGGGCCTGTGGTGGTTTGCAGGCTGGCCATGCACCTTTGCAACCCAAGTAGAGGCCCTGGTATTTATGTATCTTCTATAATTAAAACTTTGTAGCCTAGAGAGGAGCCAAGCCTCCTACTTACTCCATGGCTGCCACCATTTCTGTTTAGATTTGTTTACCTTCTATAATTGAAACTTTGTAGCCTTGAATGGAGGCTTAGGCTGGCAAGGGCAGGTGGAGAGCTTGGCTTCCTCCATTGTCAGGGAAACCCAAGCCTCCCTCCTGCTCTCTGTGTCTATAGCCATTTTGGTTGGGTTTATTTTCATACGCCCTCTGATTAGCTGGTGGGTGTGACTGGTTGGTGTGGCTGGTGGGTGTAGCGGAGGTATGGTCAATTTGCATATTATTTTATTAGATAGGATGATGGATAAGTTATTTAGCTTGATCGTGATGATACATATAATATCAAGTTATATTCCTTAAATATATTCAATTTTTATTTGTCAAAGATATCTCAATATAGTTGCCAAAAAAAATAAAATGTTAACATCTATGCCAGGCCAGTGTAACTCAGTGGTTGAGCATTGATCCAGGAACCAAGAGGTCATGGGTTTGATTCCTGGTCAGGGCACATGCCCAGGTTGTGGACTCAATCCCCAGAAGGGGGCATGCTTGAGACAGCCAATCAATAATGTTCCTCTCTCATCAATGTTTCTATCTCTATCCCTCTTCCTCTCTCTCTAAAAACAAATGAAAACATTTTTTTTTAATGTTACTATCTACAAGGAAAAAATTTTAGTATCCTGATGTGTACTTACAAATTAATTTTTAATAATGAATTGCTCATTTTGCCTCGACCTTCTAGCATACTGGCTATTTTCATTAAATAAAAAGTTATTATATGCCCTAACTGCTTTGGCTCAGTGGATAGAGCATTGACTTGTGGACTGAAAGATCCTAGGTTTGGTTTCAGTCAAGGGCATGTACCTTGGTTGCAGGCACATCCCCAGTAGAAGGTGTGTGGGAAACAGCTGATATTTCTTTCTAACTCTCTATCTCTCTCCCTTCGTCTCTTTAAAAAAATCAATAAAATATGTTTTTTTAAGTTATTATGGACTTAAAATAGAATATTTTATTATTTTTATAAACATAAAATCCTTTTTATAACTAAGGAGAGCAATTACTGCACTATCTATATTAACTTGTATTTTCCTCCCTACGTCCTTTTCATGTATACCTGGATATGAATATGGCATGTGGGAGGGCAGCAGTAGTAGGAATAGATGTATCTCTTCATGCTCTTCTTATAAATTTGAGTAAGCACTGGATGCATCACAAATGTTTACTTTTAGAATTTTCTGCTTTAAGCATTTAAGACCCAATTAGATGTAAAAACTGGGCTGGGTACAGAAAAGGGACACAGAGATGCAAATTGGCAGAGTGAGTCACCCAGGAACTCATTCTGTGATACTTAGAACGTTTGTGGTTCCCTTCATCTTTAACTGTGCTAATTTTCTAATTTCCTCCCCATTGCTACATGATTATACAGCAGTTAAATACTAGCTTAAATTCTTACAGAAAAATCAGCAGCGTTATTATCTGTTTTATAAATTTTCCCTTGTGGATAAGTGATACAAAGATGACAGTGATACAAATATTATGTTTCACTAAAAAACATACAAAAGTCTGAAAAGGCTGTAGCTCAGATCTGGTCCAGCCCTGCTTGTCATGTGACTATGGATCAATCATTCAGACTACATTTCTCATATATCAAAGCACGCAAGATGATCTTTAAGATTTATAATTCTAGTTTCAATGAAAATAATCCTGGTCAAATTAGAATGTTAAATAAAATATTTATTTATTTATTTATTCATTTACTTATTGTGAAATATGTATATGTATAGACATAATTAAGACCCATTGTTATTCTCACCAATTTCTTAGGTTATTAAATGCAAAGCAGCCGTGTTATGGGGACCAAATAAGCCTTTTTCCATTGAGGAAATAGAAGTTGCCCCGCCAAAGGCTAAAGAAGTTCGTATTAAGGTAAAGAGCCTTAAAATACATAAGCCTAAAATGCTATCCCAACTATCTTAAGTATATCATTATTTGAAGTTGTATTCTTGAATAAAGAGGTGTTTCTCAAATTTTATACATTAATTTTCTTAGTGGTTCTTGTTTATTGTTAAGGGTCTTGTCATGCTGGTTATGAAATTAATGCCAATTATTTTTTAAAAACAGCACTACTAATCTGCTCTATTAAAATTTTTATTTGTTGAATTTTTATTGACATGATTCATTTTTTTGCATTTTAATTTCTTTATTGGTTAAGGTATTACATATTTGTCCTCATCCCCCCATTACTTTCCCAACCCCTACCCCCCATTCATGCCCTCACTCCCCTGTTGTCTGTGTCCACTGATTAGCTTATATGTATGCATACAATCCTTTGGTTGATCTATCCCCCTTTTCCCCATCCTCTCCTACCTTCCCTCTGAGGTTTGACAGTCTGATCTATGCTTCCCTGTCTCTGGATCTGTTTTTGATCATTAGTTTATATTGTTTATTATTTTCCATAGATGAGTGAGATCATGTGATATTTATCTTTCTCTGACTGGCTTATTTCACTTAGCATAATGCTCTCCAGCTTCATCCATGCTGTTGCAAATGGTAGGAATTCCTTCTTTTTTAGCACAGCATAGTATTCCGTTGTGTAGATGTACCACAGTTTTTTAATCCACTCATCTGTTGATGGGCACTTAGGCTTTTTCCAAATCTTAGCTATGGTGAATTGTGCTGCTGTGAACATAGGAGTGCATATATCCTTTAAGATTGATGTTTCTAGCTTCTTAAGATATATTCCTAGAAGTGGTATTACTAGGTCAAATGGGAGATCCATTCTTAGTTTTTTTAGGAAACTTTTATAGATTGCTTTGGGTAATATGGACATTTTGATGATGTTAATTCTACCAATCCATAAATACTCTATGTTCTTCCATCTGTTTATATCTTCCTCTATCTCTTTTTCCAGTGTCCTATAGTTTTTTGCATACAGGTCTTTTACCTCTTTAGTTAAGTTTATTCTTAGGTATCTTAATTTTTTTTTTGGCACGATGATAAATGGGATTGATTTTTTAGTCTCTCTGTAAGTTCACTATTGGTGTATAGAAATGCCATAGATTCCTTGGCATTAATTTTGTATCTTGCTACCTTGCCAAATTCATTTATTAAGTCTAATAATTTTTTGATGGAGTCTTCAGGGTTTTTCTATGTACAATATCATGTCATCTGCAAATAAGAACAGTTTTACTTCTTGTTTTCCAATTTGGAAGCCTTTTATTTTTTCTTCTTGTCTGATAGCAATGGCTAGTACTTCCAGTACTGTGTTGAACAGGAGTGGTAAGAGAGGGCATCCCTGTCATGTTCCTGTTTTTAGGGGAAATGGTTTTAGTTTTTGTCCATTGAGTGTGATATTGGCTGTGGGTTTGTCATACCGGTATATAGTTTTTATTATATTGAGGTATAATCCTTTTATTCCCACCTTGCTGAAAATTGTTATCCAGAAAGGGTGTTGGATTTTGTCAAATGTTATTCTGCATCAATTGATATGACTATGTGATTTTATCTCCCAATTTGTTTATGTGATGTATCACATTTATTTATTTGTGGATATTGTACCATCCTATCATCCCTGGGATAAACCCTGCTTGGTCATGGTATATGATCTTTCTGATGTACTGCTGGATCTGATTTGCTAGAATTTTGCTGAGGATTTTGGCATCTCTGTTCAGGAGGGATATGATTTTGATTTTGGTTCGTAATCATGACTAATGATTCTTTTAAAATTTTTGGAAGTCAGCCGAAACCAGTTTGGCTCAGTGGATAGAGCATCGGCCTGCAGACCGAAAGTTCCCAGGTTCGATTCCGGTCAAGGGCATGAACCTTGGTTGTGGGCACATCCCCAGTGGGGGGTGTGCAGGAGGCAGCTGATCGATGATTCTCTCTCATCTATGTTTCTAGCTCTCTGTCCCCCTCTCTTCCTCTCTGTAAAAAAAATTAATAAAATATATTTTTAAAACAAAATTTTTGGAAGTCAGATAATATTGAGATTTCTTTTCTCAAAGAATGAGAAATTTACTTGTGTGGAGAAACCACAGCTTCCTGGAGTGTCCCCTGTACCTTTGGACACAGCCTAAGCATTGGCTTGGACATCAGGTTATTGAGTAGATGTTGCTGCCCATCTTTCTTTGATCTGCTGTGACTTATGCACTGTAGTAAGATTTTGCTCCTCACTTATCTTCATGCATGCTATTCCCATCACCTTTCATTAAGAGGGTCCATGCCGGAACCAGTTTGGCTAAGCGGTAGAGCGTCAGTCTGCGGAATGAAAGGTCCCAGGTTCGATTCCGGTCAAGGGAATGTACATTGGTTGCAGGCACATCCTGGTAGGAGGTATGCAAGAGGCAGCTGGTCGACGTTTCTCTCTCATCGATGTTTCTAGCTCTCTATCTCTCTCCCTTCTTCTCTGTAAAAAATCAATAAATATATATATATTTTTAAGAGGGTCCTAAGAGGGCCTGACAGAATCTACTTTTGTGCTGGCCATATGGCAACATCTGCATATCTCACAAGAGCACCAATTTGTAGATATTGAGATTCAAAGTAGGGCCAGAGACAGCAATATTGTAAATCAATCCCTTGGTGAGTGGGATTATGTCTGATGGTTGGTATAAAGCTCAGAATCGTCTATGAGTTAACACTATTATATTAGGCAATCAAACTGAATCAACAATTATAATCTTTTCAAGATTGAATTAGACGTCCTCCCAACTGTGAAGTGACCAGTGTGCTGATTGGTGCAATGTTCTTATCTTTGAGCACAGATTTTGGCCACAGGAATCTGTCGCACAGATGACCATGTGATTAAAGGACTGATGGTGTCCAAGTTTCCAGTGATCGTGGGACATGAAGCAGCTGGGATTGTGGAGAGCATTGGAGAAGGAGTCACTTCAGTGAAACCAGGTGTGCAGATAACACGTCACAAGTTTGAGATAAGTAGGGTCTGATTATCCTAGCAAAAGAAACAGCACAACTAGGGATTAGCAGAGAGAGCCTTGACACAATTTAAGATAAAATAATACAGGGAGAATGGATGACACTGAGTGAAGTTTATTTTGGCAGTCTTGACCTATAGCAAGCAAACCTTCTGATGCTTATACATTTTAGAGTACTTTTAAGAAATTCTTGTATGTGGCATGGGCCCAATTCACAATTGTTTATTTCATATTTTAATGTTAATGACCTGCATCTTATATTATGATGTTTTCCCTCTAGGTGACAAAGTCATTCCCCTCTTTCTGGCTCAGTGTAGAGAATGCGATATTTGCCTCAACCCAGAAGGAAACCTTTGTGTTAAGAGCGAGTAGGTTTTGGACATTTTTACTCTTAATGCCATTTCAAATTGTCCCTGCGTTAAATTTTGCATTGAATTAACTGATCTGTGTATTTGATGTATAGCATTACCGGCCGTGGAGTACTAGATGATGGCACTACCAGATTTTCATGCAAGGGCAAACCAGTCTACCACTTCTTTAACACCAGTACATTTACTGAGTACACAGTGGTAAATGAATTCTCCGTGGCTAAGATTGATGATGCAGCTCCTCCTGAGAAAGTCTGTTTAATTGGATGTGGGTTTTCCACTGGCTATGGAGCTGCTATTAAAATTGCCAAGGTAAGAAGCCGGATGGGCTAGTTTCTTCCTTTTTTTTTTTTTTTTTTTTTTAATGATTTTCTTAGAATCCTAAAGACTTTTGAAAACATATTATATACGGGCCGTTTCTACACAATGCCAAATCAACTGAAGGAAAAATGAAAAATTCAGATTGGGCATTTTACTTCTAAACAAATGAAAATAAAATATCTAGATTTAATTATGTTTCCTCAACGTTTCCTTCAGGTTTATTTCTAAATTTTAAAATTCAGATTCGGAAACACATCCTTGATCCTTCACAAAACAGGTACCAATGCTGGTTTGTTAGTGTGCTAGGGCTGTCACAACAAATTACCACTGACTGGGTCTCCTAAACTCACATTCTGGAGACCACAACCAAGGTGCTGGCAGGACTGCTTTTCTCTGAGGGCTGTGAGTGGGGCATTTGTCCCAGGCAGCTCTCCTTGGCAGTCTCTCAATGTATCTCTTCCCATCACCTTTCAGCTATGCCCATCTTTGTGTCTAAATGTCCTCTTTTCAGAAGGATACAAGTCATGTTGGATCAGGGCCCACCCTAATGAGCTGGCTTTAGCTTGGCTACCTCTGCAAAGACTCTCTCTCCAAATAAGATCACATTCTGAAAAACTGGGAATATAACTTCAACATATGAATTTAGAGGGAACATAATTCAATCCATAATAGCTGGTATATAAGATGAAAACATGAGTGAGGTTTTTGAGTGGGATTTTTTTTTTCTAGAACAACAACAAAAATAAAATTCTGGCTTATTGGGTTCTTTTTTTCTTTTGTTTTATTTTTGGTATGTGAATAAGTTTTTAAGAGAGCTTATTTGGACTAAATTTATTTTACTCTTATGAATACAAGAAATAAGTAGAATAACATGTGATAATTTGTAATAGGACAATCATGCCACAAACAATCCAAGCAATTCCCATGATAGTTGTATGCTATCAACTCCAAAGTCTTTTGAAAAACTATATATGTTAGTTGAGTCCAAATCTATAACTTAAACTCTCTCCAAATTCTTTTTTTTCCAACTCCCTATTCAAACTGAATAGATATACAATGGAATTCTTAATTTTTTTACTTCCTGCCCCTCAAACATATTTGACCCAGTCACCCATCTGCAGAGTGATAGTTTCTTGAACCTCCTCTTACCTGCCTCTGAGTCTTTAACTTGATCAGAGCCTTCGTTTCTGCTAATTTCAGATGGTTCCCTCTACCAAGAACAGCATCACATAGATCATATATTGAAACAAGGAAGTTTGGTGCCTTAGCAGGCTTAGCTCAGTGGACAAAGCATCTACCTGCAGACTGAAGGGTACTGGGTTCGATCCCACTAAGGTTACATGCCTGGGTTACGGGCTTGATCCCCAGTAGGGGGCATGCAAGAAGCAACTGATCAATGATTCCCGCTCATTATTGATGCTTCTCCCTCTCTCCCTCTCCTTTTCTCTCTGAAATTAATAAAAATATATATTTTTAAAAAATAAACATGGAGATTTGACTTTGATAAAAAAAACCCCACACAATTTAGTTTAAAATGACTCAGAGTTATGGTTATTAAGTAAATGCTAGTCAGACCAAAATCTTAAACAGATTTAGTATAGCTTTGTGGAAAAGAAATACCAAAGAACTTAGTGCTTATTTAATCCTACTGTGAGATTAGGTGACATTAAAAACTCCCATAACAAAGGCCTTTTATATGATGTACCCTTTTATAAAGGATTTTTATTTATTTGGCAAATACTGTTTTTGTTCCTTTTCTGTTCTCAGACCTTCTATTTCTAGACCTCTTTGTGGAATTACCAACAGAATAAGTGATCCAATCCTAACAGCTTCTGAATTTTGTGTTCCTAATATTGGAAATATTGTACAGATTTAACTTCTTTTATCCTACCTCTAACACTTGCATGAACCTTTCTCTTCACAGGTCACCTCTGGTTCCACTTGTGCTGTCTTTGGCCTGGGAGGAGTTGGTCTTTCAGTCATCATGGGCTGTAAGTCTGCTGGTGCATCCAGGATCATTGGAATTGACCTCAACAAAGACAAATTTGCAAAGGCAAAGGCTGTAGGAGCCACCGACTGCATCAGCCCCAAGGACTCTACCAAGCCCATCTGTGAGGTGCTGTCAGAAATGACAGGCAATACTGTGGGTTACAGTTTTGAAGTCATTGGGCGTCTTGACACAATGGTAAGAGCCAAGATTAGGGGAACCACACAATATGTGAGCTATTTGATCATAAAAGGTAAAAATCATTTTATATGGTTTTATTAGCAAACAACTATTGGAATACTTATTAGGCAAAAGCTGGTAATGTGAAACAACCTTGCTTAAAAGCCAAAAGCTTATAGCTGAGACAGGTTTGGCTCAATGGAGAGAGCGTCAGCTTGGGGACTCAAGGGACCCGGGTTCAATTCCGGTCAAGGGCATGTACCTTGGTTGCGGGCATGTCCCCAGTAAGGGGTGTACAAGAGGCAGCTGATCGATGACTCTCTCTCATCGATGTTTCTAACTCTCTCTCTCTCTCCTTTCCTCTCTGTACAAAATCAATAAAATATATATTAAAAAAAAAAAAGCAAAAAGCTTATAAGCAGGTCCTCGTGACTAAAGTTAAGTATCACATCATACCACTCTCATGTAACCAGAGTGCAAGGTAGTCAACCATCTAAACAAATTTCTATGTTCCCTTCTTTGTTTGCACATGAAAATGTATTAGCAAAGGCAAGCCCATGGTTTATACTTCAGCAAGCCAAATAGCTCAAAGTGACTTCCTGAAGAGGGATGAGGAGATCCAGGGGTGAAATGGACTTTTCCAAATTTGTCAGTCTCTTCCCCAATCTGTGATGTATCCAACTCTCACTCTTACACCTGAGATTAGTTTTCTCCTGTCTGAATCTTCTTAAAATAGGAGCCTTCAACGTTCTCAAACATGGCTCCATTGTGGCAGCCAGCAGCCAACAGCCCTCCATGAATAAACAGGTGCAGAGCTTCTGCCTAATGAAGCCTCAGCTTGGGTAGGCTGAGGAGAGTCAGAAATATAAGACAAAGCCAATCTTGTTCATGATTGAATACTACATTTAATTCACTTTAAAATGTTGGTAATTTGTGACCCGTCTTTAATTTGCCATTGTTATCACATTCTTTTCCTAGGGCACTTAGAATTATCCCATAATAACAAATATCATTTTAGATTATATGTTTGCAGAGGCAACATGGACTATTGGACATACTGTTAGGGCCTGTTGATTTCCAGATAGTACATTTATCAACACTGATCTCTGAAAAATGCCAACATCCATTGCTACAATCTAGCATCTATTCAAAAAACTATTAATGAAAAACCTGATGGGTGAATGACCAGAAAATGTGGAGTTAATTTCAGAGATGCCACACAAAAATAACACCACTTCTTTATCTCACATTTTAGTATTTTATTTACTTTGACACTAAATTTAAAAAACAAAGGTAATTGATTTTAGTATCATTAACTCGATTTCATTTAGTTCAAATGATTTTCCAAGGCTTATCTGAAATGGTGATATTAGTCTGAAAATATCGAAGGAATTTCCCACTGCGCTTTGATCCATGACACACTGAAAATGCCATGAACACTGATCACAGTAATTTCTGCTTCCTGCCTTAAAGGGCAAATGTATGAAAGAGGAAATTAAGACCAGAGCTGTGTTGAGAATTTTTAAACACACCACACAAAAAAACCCACAAAAGTCACGTGGGCCTAATTTACTGTCATGACTTGGGAATTTGAACTACCTACTAGAACTGTGAGAGAATGGAGGGCACCTATGAGCCCATAAGATACTATGAAACATAAGGAGCCAATAGTCTTCTTCATTTTAAACTTAGGTTGATGCCCTCGCATCCTGCCACATGAACTACGGGACCAGCGTGGTGGTAGGTGCTCCTCCATCAGCCAAGATGCTCACCTACGACCCTATGCTGCTCTTCACTGGACGCACGTGGAAGGGATGCGTTTTTGGAGGTAAGGACGGTGGAGCCTCTGGCTTGGAGGACTTGAGTTCATTTCCTTTGTTAAGTGAGGGAAGCCTCTTCTCTCATCCTATCTCCCTCAAAGGTCTTTGTTCCAAGGATGGGTATGAAGTGACCTAACGTGAGACTGTGACCACAATGATACAAAACAAAGCCCACTTCTCACCTTGATTTAAAGCTCACTTCTCACCTTGATTTAAAGCTAGTATTGTTGGGCACATTTTTAATATTAACATTTTCAAATCAAGTTCCTCAAAGGCTTCAATGAGAGGCACCAGCAATCTTTCTATGGGAATGTTTTTATTGGATTGGAAGTGCTGATTGTATCCATTATTCTCAATATACACATTGAACGTGTATGAAAAAATAGAATTTGTTCAGTCCACAATTGCATCAGCAAAACAATTCTGAACCCAAAGCCAACATAAACAAACAAATATGGATTGCTTCATTTTATTAGGACAATTGAGATTCACACCAAAATGACTGGCAGAGACAAAGGTAAATTCTCACTCCTGGTTGCCTATAAACTATCAGCAGGATTTGATAAAGCTGATGTCCCCCTTTTTCTCAAACACTCTGTTCACTTGGCTCCTAGATATTACTTTGTTTGCTGTTATTATTCTGTTTATTCTCCTCCTACCTCAGTGGTCACTCCTTCCAGGAATATTTGCTGGAGCCTCCACAACCTCAGATCTCCAACTTTGGTGTCAGTCCTCAGATCCTTTCCTTATTTCCATGTCCTTCCAAGGTAATCTCGGGTCTCATGGCTTTAAGTTTATATCTCAGCCTAGACCTCTACTTGAACTACAGTGCCTACCTAACATACCCACTTGGATATTTGATAGACATGCAAACTTAACCTACCATAAAAACCACCCCTGATGCTAACATCTCTGCCCTATCCCCCACCATTCTCCTCCCACAGCCTTCCCATCTCAGTAAGTGATCTCTCCATCATTCCTTTCAATCAGGCAGGAATGCACTCTTCATCTCATGCATTACACTCTTTATCTCATGCATTGAATATCTCAGCAAATTCTCTTGACTATCTTCGAAGAGTACCTGACCATTTCTCAGCATCACTTGTCCAAGCCACCATCCGCAACTTTTAGCATTGCTAAATGGCCCCCCTGCTCTTGTCTTAATAAGACATTCCCCATAGAGCAAGCATAATGTGACTTGTAATAAAGTTGCATCTTATTGGTTATGTCATATAAGATTGCATCAAATTGGTTAATTCTTGGTACCAGAAATGCTTACAAACAAGTATAGGCACCTGATTTTTTTTTCCAAAAAGTCACTTTGGAGCAAAAAGAGTAGGTAATTATAATTTTTTTGCAAGTTGATAAAAATTATGCTTATTTCTTGTCAGATTGGGAAAAAATATGATGTCTGTTTGGGGTACCACAGAATTTTAGTAATTAGTTTACTAATGAAGCTGCTCTAACGGCTTCTTTTCTCGCTCAGAATAAAATCCCCAAACATGCAATGGCCAGAAGGTGCCCTGTGACCTGGCCCCCTGGCCCCAGCTGCTACTATTCCGTTCTCACTCTGCTCCAGCCACTGGCCTCCTCGCTGTTCTCACTTGCCAACACTCCTCAATGCCTTTGCATCTATTCTGCCCTCTCCCTGAAATACTCTTTCCCAAGATTGCTGCCTAGCTCATTTCCCTTATGTTTTGTATGAATGTCACTTTCACAGACAGGCCTTCCCTGAGCTTTATAAAATAGCACTCCCTCCTGATCCCACCTTGTCTGTCCCTCTAGCACTGTCTACGGCCCTTACTCTGTCTTTCTCCCCCTGCTGTCACTGGATGACCTCCTTTAATTTGCTTGTTTACTGTCAGTCTCTCTGCAGTAAAATGAAAGGATTCCCATGCTTCTTGGGAGAAGGAGCCTGATATGTTTTGCTTTATATTCCCAGCCTGGTGCTTGGTATTAGTGTATACCCAATAGATATTTACTGAATAATTGAATTTTACTTCTAATATTCCTGTATAATCTGTAATCTCTTTACATGTCACAAATAGTCAAAGTCAATATCTCTTATTGTTTGTTCATCAGTTCACGTCTTATTTCCCCTAAGGAGCCAGCTCTAAAGAACTGCCTTTGTACAAAGCAGCCTCCCAAGTTTATGCCCCAATTGATGCTGTGAAAAGAGAATAAGCTTTCCTCACATTGAACATTGTGTGTGTCAGGGTGACTTCAACAAGAGGTGAAGAGCAGAGAGCTGGATGGGCTCAAGAGAGAGTGGCAGAATACGAAGTTGAACTGGAAACAATGAACTAGAGATGCTTTTTTCTGTAAAGTAAAAATTATTTTCTATAAAAGGAACAGAGATATTGGGCAGCTAGAAGGAGATGTGGGTTTATGAAAGGTTTTTATGGGGGTAAGAGGGTGCGCCTTTGAGAGAATAGCTTATTAGTGTGCAGTTGAGAAAAGTTCAATATGGGGAAAAGGTAAAAATGCAGAAGAGACAACATACAAATATAATAAAATATAAATATTATTTAGTAAAGTCTAAAAAGAAAATATGTGCTTATTTACAGGTTGGAAAAGCAGAGATGATGTTCCAAAAATAGTGAATGATTTTCTGGCAAAAAAATTTGACCTGGACCAGTTGATAACCCATATTTTACCTTTTAAAAATATCCAAGAAGGATTCGAACTGCTCTACTCAGGGAAAAGGTACTCATTTTTGTTTGTTTGTTTGTTTTTTATGGTGATCTCAAATTTATTCCACAGGCTACCTTTAAAAATTCAATATTTATAAATATACCAGTTTCTTTCATATTTTATTTCTGATATTTTAAACTAATAAGATTAATATAGCTGATTACTTTTTCATAGACTTAGTATATCATTGTCTTATATTAACCAATTTAAAAATATATATATTTTATTGATTTTAGAGAAGAAAGAGGGAGGGAGAGATAGAAACATCAATGATGAGAGAGAATCATTGATTGGCTGCCCCCTGCACGCCCCTACTGGGGACCGAGCCCGCAACCCAGGCATGTGCCCTTGGCCAGAATCGAACTTGGCACCCTTCGGTTTGCAGGTTGACACTCTATCCATTGAGCAAAACCAGCTAGGCCTGTATTAACTACTTTTTTAAAAAAGTGGTTAATGTTGGCTATTTTTCTTTCATCATAAAGATGCTAGGTTGTTCAAGAAATGCTACATTTTCTTGCTTTACACTTTTCAAAGTGCTTTTCCAAATGTGCTTTCTTCAGATACTTGTAGGTGAGATATGATAGCAATCTTCAGTTGAACAACCTAAAGTTGTGAAATGCAAATAACTTCCAGACCTTGTAGGGGCAGCACCAGGATGCAAATTCAGTGCAAAGCCTGTGCTCTTCTCACTGCACCCTGAATTCCTCCCACAGAGCTGGCAGGCTCCAGGAAAACCTGGTCTTCCTTTTAATACTCACCCAAGGATATGTTTTCATAGATCTTAAAAATATTTTTATTGATTTCAGAGAGGAAGAGAGAGAGAATCATTGATCAGCTGCCTCCTGTACATGTCCCAATCTGGGGATCAAACCCACAACCTTGTGGTGTACAGGACGACTCTCCAACCAACTGAGACACCTGGCCATGGGTGTTCTTGTCACTATCGTTGTTATTTCTGAGGGTTGGACAAGGGGAGAGGTAGAATAGAAAAATTCACACCATCACCACCATGTCTGCTCATGGAAGCTTGGAACAGCCATCAGAGAGCCTGTCTTCAAGATGAATGACATTTCACTCACTGGGTCTCTACATCCTCATTGAACAACCACTGTGTTCCAAGGATGTGGGTTTCATTAGCAGCAGAAACTAACTGTGCATTAACCTGAGATCCAGATTCCACTAAGTTTCTCCTTCCTTGAGTGCTTTTCCAGTGTTATCTGATGTCTCTCCATCTGGTCTAGACTACCAGGTCACTGTATTATGAACACACATTCAAACTGTTTTTTAGCAAGGAAACAATGGATTAAATGGCCAGAACAACCTTCACTCAGTTAAGCCAAACAAGTAGCTTCACACGGCCAGTTGGAAACATACATTCTGCTCTCAGGGACTTTGCTTCCAATATCACAAGTGGAGCTTTATAAACCCAAGCTCTTCATTTCCATCTACTTCCTGCATGGCCGAACTTGTGTCCCACTTGCGTTAACTTCACCCCAAATCATTCTCCCACCATTACCTCTGACCTCAGCAAGCAATGCCTCCTTTTTGCTTTTACAGACCAGCAGCGGAACATCACCTTGAACTTCTCCTTCACGTTGCTCACTACATGCAAACAGATGCTGAGCTCAGGGATGCAACCCCAGGGTCTTCTCCAGCTGCCTCCCTCTCATTGCCCTGAGCATTACCTAGTTCAGTCCAGCCATCTCTCTCCTGGGCATGTTAACACAGTAGCATGGAAACAGGTCTCCTGCCTTCCTGTATTTTACCATAGAGGTCAGGTCTTCACTAAGCTGCTAAAACTCAAGTTGCCTAAAATATCAATGCCTTTGCATGGTTTTGAAAGCCTTTGCTATTCATGTACTAATGTAGGTGGTCATTCCACAGCTAAGAACTTAGCACCTGCTCTACCCTCAGTGCCAGGCTGTGGGATAAAGTGAGGGAGTAGGTCTCCAGGCGTCCAGGAGTCTAAGCACCATGCATCACCTTTCCTGCTCCCCTTTGTAGGCTTCTTCATGCCTTCTCTTCAGCCATAAGCCCCTGTCCCTGTCAGCCTGCTGCAGATGTGCTTGCCAGTGACCCTTGAGAAAGAAAGTTCACTGGTGTGGACCTGAGACCTGAACGGATTTTCAACAACAGTTTAGCTATAACGATAGGAAGGGTAATTTCTTAAACTGTTCTAGTTTGGAAGGTATGGGCACAGATCACTAAAGATTATCATTTTGCATTTCAGCATCCGAACTATCCTGACATTCTAAGTGGCAGGAGTCGGTGCTGTGTGATGGAGACCTGGCTTCCCCTCTACTCTTCCCTCTGTGAGTCGTGGGTCTGCTGCAGACAGACCAGCAGCTGAGGTCTTGGTGAAGACACGCAGTCCTTCTGAAATACATATTAAGAGACTGATGAGCACCTGGGAATTAGCAGGGGGAGGGGTTAATGATATTATATTTAAATTTTTCATTTTCCAAGGCTCTAATAATATATTTTGAAAAAGCATATTTGCATTTTTAAATTGTAATATAGATTTTTTTTTAAAAAAACAGTTTTAAAAATGCTACCCCTTAGAGCAGATTTAGCTTGAAAAGATAACATATGTATTTCCTAAAGTAATCCGCATTTTGTGGATAGTTTTTAACATATTACAAGCATTTCTTTTTTTATTTTAATGTAAATTTTAAAAATAGTTATGAATTAACATGAATTTGGTTTTAAAATCAATTTTTCGCATGGCACAAATTGATTAGATTAGGAAAGGACTAGGGAAGTTCTTTCATGATTAACTTTATGAATCATCATTATATAACTAGGTGAATCTGAGAAATCATACTACAGTACACATGAAACTATTTGCCAGTCTATATAAATATTTCAGAATACATACTTTTATAATACTACTTAAATATCAAAATGCTGTTAGAATCAAATTGCAATATATATTTTAATGTTTGGTTTAAATAAAGCGGAATTATAAGTCATTTAATGCCTGTTTACGTAGCAATGACTCCTTTTAACAAAAATATATTTTTGCCGAGACTGGTTTGGCTCAATGGATAGAGCATCAGGCTTGAGGACTGAAAGGTCCCGGGTTCGATTCCAGTCAAGGGCATGTACCTTGGTTGCGGGCATATCCCCAGTAGGGGGTGTGCAAGAGGCAGCTGGTCGATGACTCTCTCTCTCATCGATGTTTCTAACTCTCTATCTCTCTCCCTTTCTCTCTGTACAAAATAATAAAATATATTAATATATATATATATATATATATATATATATATATATATATATTCAGTTTGGTGCAACTGCACTGGCAATTTTATGTATACTAATAAGAGGGTAATATGCTAATTAGACCAGGAGACCTTCTGGGAGATTTTACGGATGTCCTTTTGGACAAAGTCATGGTGGTAGGACTGAGTCAGAGGCCATTAGGAGTGATCAGACCAGCAGGGGAGGGCAGTTGGGGGTGGGAAGACCAGCAGTGGGGGCAGTTAGGGGCCATCCGGCTGGTGGGGGCTGTTGGGGGCGATCATGTTGGTGGGGAGGCAGTTGGGGGTGAGCAGGCCCTGGGAGTGGGTTGCAGTTGGGGGTAAGGAGGCCGGAGGGGGGCACAGTTAGGGAGCGATCAGGTCATCAGGGGAGCAGTTGGAGGCAATCAGGCTAGCAAGAGGGGCTTTTGAAGGAAGCAGGCCTTCAGGGGGTCAGTTGGGAGCAATCAGGTCAACAGGAGGAGCAGTTGGGGGTGAGCAGGCTGGTAAGGGGGACAGTTGGGGACCAGCAGACCAGCAAGGGAGCATTTGGGGGTGAGCAGGCCAGCAATGGGGGGCATTTGGAGGTGAGCAGACAGGCAGGGGGGGGGGCAGTTGTGGGTAATTAGGCCTGAGGGAGGGCAGTGGGAAGTGAACGATCAGGCCAGCAGAGGGTGGGCAATTGGGGGCCAGCAGGCCAGTGGCAGTGGGGGGGGGGGCTGTTGGGGATGATCAGGTTGGTAGGGGAGGCATTTGGGGGCAATCAGGCCTATAAGGGGGATATTTGAGGGCAAGCAGGCTGGCAGGAGTGGCAGTTGTGGGCAAGCAGGCCAGCAAGGGGAGAGGCAGTTGGGGGCAAGCAGGCCGGCATTGGGAGGGGGTAGTTAGGGGTGATCAGGCCTGAGGGGGGGCCAGTGGAGTGATCAGGCTGGCAGTTGTGGGCGAGCAGGCTGACAGGGGGCAGTTAGGGGATATCAGGCCTGAAGCGGGGGCAATTGGGGGTGATCAGGTTGGCAGGCAGAGTAGTTAGGGGTGATCAGGCAGGCAGAAGAGCAGTTAGGAGCCCATGGTCCTGGATTGCAAGAGGGATGTCTGACTGCCGGTTTAGTTCAGATCAGGTCTAAACCGGCCAGTGGGATATCCTTGGAAAGGTCCCAGATTGGAGAGGGTGCAGGCCGGGTAGAGGGACATATCCCCATGCAAATTCCTAAAATTTAAGTATTTTACAAAATTTTTGGTGGCAATATATTTTGTTTGAAGAGGACAGTTTCATTAATTATTGAACTCTTATTGGCTATAGATAAAGTATTAAAGCATTGAAAACTCATGATATACTTTATGAGAAAAAAGGTAGATATAACAGAAATTGGGAATTTTGATATAAGAATGTAAGAGCATGGGCAGTATGTGTAGTTCAGACCCTACAATCTGATTAATGACAGAAAAACTGCCCCAAAATAAACATTATTAACTACAAAATAGAAAGAATTAATATTTGTGTCTCTTTTCTAAAATTTAAGAAATTAAATAGAATATCTAAATTTGTATAAAGTACACAAAAAGAAATAAATCAATGAAGGAATTAACATTAATATTCTGAGATCCCTGTTTTTGAAAGGAACTTCACTTTATTTCTAGAGCTTCTTACAAATCTTGTTTTTATAAATGTTACACATGTCACAGTTTTATATATTTAATATTTATTGTGAAACCTTATGGATTCATTTCTCACTTATGAGCTTATTGTGGCTAAATAGTGGACAGAAAGAACTTCAAACATCTTGCAAGGAAAACCTGCCTACAAACAGTTTTTCAAATCATCTGCAAGCATTGATTCTAAAAAGGTCAGGAAATGGATGAGTGTTGGGTATTTTTCATTCCTAGCCAATGAAGCCATGAAGCAATGTCAAACAGAGTTCTTGGATGTTAAATCAAGGGATAAATAAGCAAGAAATAGCTAGAGGAATGTTAAATGAAACATTCTCCTTCTTTCTTAAAAACCCAGAATTTAATCCCTTAAATGAGTATTCATTTATTCAGCATTTTCTCCCTGCTTCCACTTTGTACCACGCTGAGTTAGGTAAACACATAGCTCACAGTGAATCAAACTGAGACTATCTCTGTCCTTATAGACCATATAGTGTTCTGAGAGACCCATTTAATCAGACAGTAAACAGATGAATAAAAATACCACTTAATGCCGAAACCGGTTTGGCTCAGTGGATAGAGCATCGGCTTGGGGACTGAAGGGTCCCAGGTTCGATTCCGGTTACAGGCATGTACCTTGGTTGCGGGCACATCCCCAGTAGGAGGTGTGCAAGAGGCAGCTGATCGATGATTCTCTCATCGATGTTTCTAACTCTCTATCCCTCTCTCTTCCTCTCTGTAAAAACTCAATAAAATATATATTAAAAAATACCACTTAAATGTGTGATGTGTTAAATGAAGCAAGGACCAAAGTATCATGTTAGAAAAAAAAAAAAAGAGAGATGAAAGGAAAGGAGTTTTCATCTTTCTCTAAGGTGCCATGGAAGGCCACTCTGAAGTCAATTCAAGCTCACGTCGGAAGGATGAGCTGTAGCAGACTCGGTGAAGAGGGAGCGAAATCCTCCCTGTTGAAGGAACCACGTGCCCAAAGGCCTGTAATTTGGAAAAGCTGACCAACTCCTACTGGGAATTGTAAAAAGGCCAGCATATTTGCCTCAAAATGCTAATGCAATTGTTTAATTTCATGAAGAGTGCTAATTTCTTATAGACATTTTTGTATGTTTATTTCTTTCAATGGTTGGCTTGCTCAGACACTCGTCCAGAAAAGAACATGCTTTAGTTATCACCAAGACCAATATGATCGTCACCCAGAGAAAGAAACACACTGTAGAGCTTTCCCAGGAAGGCTCTTTCCCCATGACCTCAACTCCAGTCTGCAGAAGTTTCTTCCACCAGCATTTCCCTTCTTGTTTCTCACTTGTCTTTATAGGATTCTGTGTACTCCTCAGAAATAACTAGCTGCCTGGGCCTCATAAACTAACTTATAGTATTTACCTCCTTTGTGCATATATACTTGTCCATCTTTTTGTTCCTTAGAGAGTTGGATTCCATTCACGGAGGAAAGTGAAAATCTCTGTTACCACAGGCAACCAGCCTTAGGTTCCATGTTTTTTTTTCTACTTCTCTCTGACATTGTCAGTCACCGCTACAGAGAAGTGACTGATGCTTTCCAGAGAATTCAACCCATTCTACATGTGACGTTTCAGAAGATAGGGACTCTGCTCCAAGTTCTTTCTTAAAAACAGTATCAAGTAGAACACAGTGTGCCCAATGAATATGATGCAAGCATTCTTGGCTGACTAACTGATTGAATTAAGAGAATTTCATATTCATGGTTGTATCTCCCACACAGAAATACATCACCATGTTAGCCAAAGAGATGATTGAGGCACCAAGCCATGTTCTTGGGAACTGCTCTTCCTGCTAGTCCAACATTTCATCACAAATGTTATTTTTCTGTTCTGTGAATGAATTACACTTCTTGAAATCCTAGTCAATAATTTAACTTAAAATGCTGTTTACTTGAATTTGCAATTGCACATTTGGAAAAAAACAGTGTTCTCACTTAACATTTTATAAATGTCAATGCAAGTTTTGGCAAAGAATTATATGATTACATAACTATCTGGCATGCCTCAAATGTATTGCTATTCATTAAACAAAGCTCTTGGTAAACAAAGTTTCCTACAGGAAAAAAAAAAAAAAAAAAAACCATAAAGTGCAAATATTGAACTCTAGTTGTGGATTACAACTTTATTCAAAGCATGATGTGCTGGCTTGACTCAGAAGGCATGTGTAAAGCTCTTGGTATCTGTTTCTTGAGATCCCATCTAGCTCTAACTTTCAAAAGTTCTAATTAAAAAATAGATTCTTGAGATATTTGTGAACTTGATTTCTCTTTACTTTGGAAAAGAAGACAGGAGAATCTCCCTAGGAATAAAAAGTGCCGAAACACTTATAATTTATTT